GTGTGTATGTATGTGTGTCTGTGTATGTGTGTGTGTGTGTGTGTGTGTGTGTGTGTGTGTGTGTGTGTGTGTGTGTGTGTGTGTGTGTGTGTGTGTGTGTGTGTATGTGTGTGTGTGTGTGTGTGTGTGTGTGTGTGATTGCATTGCATATTATCGTATATGTATTTATTTTGATATATACTGCTTTGGAGATTTTTTTGCTATCAGTTCTAATGCTACTTATGTGTTTGAGAATATATAATTTCCAGTCAGAAATTATAATAACAAAATAGAAAGGATGACTTTGGCTGCGTCAGAAACTTACGTTACATCTACTTGAATTCGTTAACAATTTAATGAAGTACACATTCATATCTAAATGTATTCATTGCAGTTATGTTGACTAAACAGTAAACAAACAGAAACACACACACACACACACACACACACACACACACACACACACACACACACACACACACACACACACACACACACACACACAGAGTACACCTAACACAACACACGCGGAAGGCCCGCACACACCCCAGGCGGGTTGTAATAATAACTGTGGTAGCTGTTATCAACATTACCTCCCCCCTCCCCCTCCTCCTCCCCCGTTCACTCCCCATTACTTCCACTTCGATGGACAAGAAAGACTTAATATATTCAGGCTCCCTTTCCTCCCCTTCCTCCCCCCCCCCCCCACTCGTCCTTTCCCTCTCCCACCTTCTTCCTTCTTCCCTTCCTTTCCTGGTAAGTTCGCCTTCTTCTTATTCCTTTTTCTTTCGTTTAGTGTTTTAAGTCCCTTTTTTTTCCTTGGTGTTGTTCTCGTTTTTTCCTTATTCATCTCTTCTGTTCATTTTTTTTTTTCTTTCATTCTATTTATCATCGTTTTTCTAATAGTTTTCTTTCTGAATATCTTTTATCAAAAGCTTAATATTCTTGTCTTCAACTACGGTCATGTTTTGTATCTTCATGTATCTACCTCATTTTAGTTTATGGTGTATTTTTGTTTTCTCTCTCTTCTCTTTTCTCTTCTCTCTTCAATCACCCGTCCTCTCTTTCTTAACTCCCCAATTATTTCCTCTATCCACACACTTATATTCCTCTCTGGACAAAAAATGGGTGAAGCAGAAATACGACAAAGGTAATAACAGGAACAACACAAAATACATATAGACAAAGCCTGGAAATTGAAAAAGTATTTCATCAGAGCTACAGAAAGAGGAGGTTGGTTTATGTCGCGGCGAGTCAATTTAACGAGGTAGTGAAACGTGGCGGACGAGACCGTAGACTTTATACCGGTAGCAGTGCATGATCAGAGGGAAGGCGATTTCGGACGTGGAAATCAGTTTTCCCTTTTCTTTCTCTCTCTCTTGTTCATTCTTTCTTTCTCTCTCTCGTTCTTTCTCTCTCTCTCTCTCTCTCTCTCTCTCTCTCTCTCTCTCTCTCTCTCTCTCTCTCTCTCTCTCTCTCTCTCTCTCTCTATCTCTCTCTCTCTCTCTCTCTTATTATTATTATTCTTCTCTTCTTCTCCTCCTCTTTCCCTCTTTCGCTCACCTCTCTTTCCCTCCCTCATTCACCTCTCCTTCCCTCTCTCATTCTCCTCCCTCTCCCTCTCCCTCTATCTCTCTCCCTTATTTAACAACCTTCCACTTTTCTTCCTTTCCTAACTGCTTCTTCTGCCGCCTCCCCCCCTCCTCCCCCTTCAGCCCTCCCCCCTCCTCCCCCTTCATCCCTCCCCTACCCCACACCCGGACGCATTTCGTGAGGCGTGAACATATCGTCTCGACTACCTATTCAAAGGGGTGAGATCAGATTTCCATAATTCTCCTCACTGCTCTGTTCTCCTTCTCATTATCACCGCATTCGTCATCGGCTTTGATCGGGCTGACACGTCCTTCGCGCGCGCGTACACACTCGCACATATACAATTGTACAGATGTGTATATACGTACGCACATGGATACATATATGCATACATAACTACAGGCAGACAGATATAAATACATACATTTACACACACACACACACACACACACACACACACACACACACACACACACACACACACACACACACACACACACACGCGCGCGTACACACCTACCTCAAGATTTCCGAATGTGATCTCTGTTGGAAGTGACGGAGATCTCGTATAAACAGTGTCGGATCCATTATTGTTTTTTTTACGACCCTAAAGCGTTAAGACTTACAGTGACATTCGGAGAAATATTTTAAGATGCTGTTGTCTACCTTCTGACGTAAAGATACACAATAAAATCGCATGAATTTAAAGAAAAAAAAAACATGAATGGATATATGCGGTGATAAATTATCAACCCTGTACGAAACGATAACGAACTTACACGAAATGGATAATCATAAATGTTCATTCAAATGCAATAAATTTCTGCCGTTTCCCTAATACCCAGATTTTTTTCCTCTAAAATGTCACGTCTCACCCTCCTCCACCCCCCCCATATGCCCCTAACCCCTTGCCCCTTGCGTTTCGTCC